GGTCTTGAATTATGACCCATACCTCCTTGACTCCAAATGCTGTCAATATGTTGAGATATGGCTCAATTCTCGCGGTGAACATCAAAATATGTTTTTTTAAAAATAAAATTTGTAGATTTTCATCTTCCAAACATCCAAGAATCATCTGTAATCTGTACTGTCACTTTTGACCCATCCCCACCATCCCATCCCCATCAGCCATCGACCATTTCTGGTTGCCCTACCTGCCATGGTTGGTCGCGACAAAGATGGTGTGATAGCGCTTGTCCCAAGAATCGGCGCCAGCCATGCCTGGCAATGCGGCGCCGAAGGCCATGGAAGAAATGTCTGTATCTAGGTGGTTTTGCAATGGTTAAAGCTGGTCACTCATGGTTCATAGATGTTAACAGATGTTAATAGATGTTAGATAATAGTAGAGAAAACTGTATAGATCTGGAGAAGTTTGAATGACTGAGGTTGGTGGCGAAGTCAGGAATCAGATCCCTGGGGTAGTTAGCAACTAGCCACAATGTCCGGAGCTGGAGTGAACGTTCACCCCACGATAAATCACCGAGTATATACCCTCTGGTAAACTAACATAACTATGGAAAATCACCATTTTTAATGGGAAAACTCACTATAAATAGCCATTTTCAATAGCTATGTTAAATTACCAGAGGGTAATATTTGTCTTTTAAACATCCAGCATCATCCAGCTATTTCAACGAATCCGCCTGGAGATCGAAGCCAAGTTCGCCCACAATGCTGCCGCAAAGCTGTGCCAATGCCTGAGAAATCTCCTTCCGGCCCCCGGCCCTGTCCAGTGAGCAGCGTTCAAAACCCGAAAAATGTCGGTCCCATAATAGTTGAGACCGTTGAGACAAGGATTCCCCGATGGCTGTGACTGTGATATTCCCCAAGTACAATCCATTGCCTGACACCTACTCTGGGACCTCCGTCGTGCCCATGGTTCTGACACCTGCCGTGCAACGGCTAAGCTGGAACGAAATGTGCCCATGCTTTCCGAAACCTGAAGCTCGAGTGCAAATTCATGTGGCTCTTTTCGATGGTGTGATGATTGATGATGATTGTAGGTGGTGGGTATTTTGATAGTGATTTTAAAACAAAAACGTGGATCGGAACGAATCTTAGGCAGCGCACACCGTGGCCCCACAATCCCCACAACGGCACCTGCCCTGCCGTATGGGACACAGTGCGACACTGGCAAGGATTTCAAATACGGCCTGGTCGCTGCCACGGAAGTTGAGTGACAGGGAATAGGGGAATGATCTAATCCATAACTATTAACAATCATCCCCTTGCGCCATTCCCTACAAGATGCAAACTACCCTCTGGTAAACTGACATAACCATGGAAAATCATCATGCTTAATGGGTAAATCCACTATTTCTATGGCCATTGTCAATAGCAAACTGTTAGTTTACTGGAGGGTAACCACCAGTAGTTGAGAGTTGTTGGAAGTAAAAGACCCAAGGCCTCAGCGATGTCCCAAACCTGAGGGCCCAACAATCGGGCATCCTGAGGCCGGGCAAACATCAAAACAGTGTTTCCCGATATCAGGAATCGAAAACAGAAGTTGTTGTTGTTGTTGTTGTTGTCGTTGTTGCTGTGGCTGTTGCTGTGGTTGCTGTTGCTGTTGCTGCTGTTGGTGTTGTTGTTGTTGTTGCTGCTGTTGGTGTTGTTGTTGTTGTTGTCGTTGTTGCTGTGGCTGTTGCTGTTGTTGCTGTTGCTGTTGCTGCTGTGGCTGTTGCTGTTGTTGCTGTTGCTGTTGCTGCTGTTGGTGTTGTTGTTGTCGTTGCTGTTGTGGCTGTTGCTGTTGTTGCTGTTGCTGTTGCTGCTGTTGGTGTTGTTGTTGTTGTCGTTGTTGCTGTGGCTGTTGCTGTTGCTGTTGCTGTTGCTGTTGCTGCTGTTGGTGTTGTTGTTGTTGTCGTTGTTGCTGTGGCTGTTGCTGTTGTTGCTGTTGCTGTTGTTGCTGTTGGTGTTGTTGTTGTTGTCGTTGTCGTTGTTGCTGTGGCTGTTGCTGTTGTTGCTGTTGCTGTTGCTGCTGTTGGTGTTGTTGTTGTTGTCGTTGTTGCTGTGGCTGTTGCTGTTGTTGCTGTTGTTGTTGTTGTTGCTGCTGTCGGTGTTGTTGTTGTTGTCGTTGTTGCTGTGGCTGTTGCTGTTGTTGCTGTTGCTGTTGCTGCTGTTGGTGTTGTTGTTGTTGTGCTTGTGTGGTGTTGTTTGTTGTTGTCAGTGTTGCTGTTGTTGCTGTTGTTGTTGCTTTTGCTGCTGTTGGTGTTGTCTTGGGTCTTGTTGCTGTGGCGTTGCTGTTGTTGCTGTTGCTGTGTTGTGTTGGTTTGTTGTTGTTTTCGTTGTTGCTGTGGCTGTTGCTGTTGTTTGCTGTTGCTGTTTGCTGCTGTTTGGTGTTGTTTTATTGTTGTTGTCGTTGTTGCTGTGCTGTTGCTGTTGTTGCTTTGCTGTTGCTGTTGCTGCTGTTGGTGTTGTTGTTGTTGTCCTTGTTGCTGTGGCTGTTGCTGTTGCTGCTGTTGCTGCTGTTGCTGTTGTTGTTGTTGTTGTTGTTGCTGTGGCTGTTGCTGTTGTTGCTGTGGCTGTTGCTGTTGTTGCTGTTGCTGATGTTGCAGTTGTTGCTGTTGCTGTTGCTGCTGTTGGTGTTGTTGTTGTTGTTGTTGTTCTTGTTCTTGTTGTTGCTGTTGCTGTTGCTGTTGCTGTTGTTGTTGCTGTTGTTGTCGTTGTTGTTGTTGTTGTTGTCGTTGTTGCTGTGGCTGTTGCTGTTGTCGCTGTTGCTGTTGCTGCTGTTGGTGTTGTTGTTGTTGTTGTTGTTTTGTTGTTGTTGCTGTTTGCTGTTGCTGTTGCTGTTGTTGTTGCTGTTGTTGTCGTTGTTGCTGTGGCTGTGTTGTTGCTGTTGTTGCTGTTGCTGTTGCTGCTGTTGTCGTTGTTGCTGTTGTTGTTGTTGTTGCTGTTGCTGTTGCTGTTGCTGTTGGTGTTGTTGTTGTTGTTGTTGTTGGTGGTGGTGTTGGTGTTGCTGTTGCTGTTGCTGTTGCTGTTGCTGCTGTTGTTGTCGTTGTTGTTGTTGTTGCTGTTGTTGTTGCTATTGTTGTCGTTGTTGCTGTGACTGTTGCTGTTGTTGCTGTTGCTGTTGCTGCTGTTGGTGTTGTTGTTGTTGTTGTTGTTGCTGTTGCTGTTGCTGTTGTTGTTGTTGTTGTCGTTGTTGCTGTTGTTGCTGTTGTTGTTGCTGTTGTTGTCGTTGTTGCTGTGGCTGCTGCTGTTGTTGCTGTTGCTGCTGCTGCTGTTGGTGTTGTTGTTGTTGTTGTTGTTGCTGTTGCTGTTGCTGTTGCTGTTGTTGTTGCTGTTGTTGTCGTTGTTGCTGTGGCTGTTGCTGTTGTTGCTGTTGCTGTTGCTGCTGTTGGTGTTGTTGTTGTTGTTGTTGTTGGTGGTGGTGTTGGTGTTGCTGTTGCTGTTGCTGTTGCTGTTGCTGTTGTTGTCGTTGTTGTTGTTGTTGCTGTTGTTGTTGCTGTTGTTGTCGTTGTTGCTGTGGCTGTTGCTGTTGTTGCTGTTGCTGCTGCTGCTGTTGGTGTTGTTGTTGTTGTTGTTGTTGTTGCTGTTGCTGTTGCTGTTGTTGTTGCTGTTGTTGTCGTTGTTGCTGTTGCTGTTGCTGTTGCTGTTGTTGCTGTTGCTGTTGCTGTTGCTGCTGCTGCTGCTGTTGTTGTTGTTGTTGTGGTTGTGGTTGTGGTTGTGGTTGCGGTTGTTGTGGTTGTGGTTGTGGTTGTGGTTGTGGTTGTGGGGTCCCAGTGTTTGTTTGTCCTTGTCCTTGTCCTTGTCCTTGTCCTTGTCGTTGTTGTTGTTGTTGTTGTTGCTGCTGCTGCTGTTGCTTTTAGAACCACACAAGTCATTACCCTCTAACCAACATAGCTATGAGAAAACTGGGAAATTGTCCGCTATGCCATTGATAGGTGATTTCCTTAGTAAACTAGTTGGTTTTCCATCGCCCTATGAATTGGTCGATGATCCACCTAGCTGCCCCTATGCCTGGGAAATAATGCGTTTTTCTTGATGACCCTCTGGTAATCAATTTGCTGGAAAATCTCCACTTTACAGTTGATTTTCCCAGCTATAACCATCTTAAACCCACCATTTACGGAGATTTCACAGCTTGCCATGCTGATGAGACCGTTGTGGTCAGTTGCCGGTACTTAGCAAGAACCTTTCCTGTCGGAGGCGATCACCGGAAGCACACCTGACCCAAAAGGTCTTCCAAAGTGGATGCGCTAAGGCTACCTGGTGGGAGAATGGACACATGGTTTCGTCCACAAACAGCTGAGAGAATGTCCTAGTGACCATGAATGGGGGCCCACAAATTTCTCAGTTCGAGGTCACAAACCGTAACTACTTGTACGGTCGGTTGTATATACCAATATTGCTGTTGTTATATATCCCAAATATAGATATATCCCAATATTATGGATATGTTACATTGTTGCACATCCCAATTATAGATTATGATATATCCCAATAATATAGATTTGGTTTACATTGTTGTATATCCAATTCTAGATTCTATAGATATATCCCAATTTAGATAATCGGTTTATATAAAGCCCAATTTTCTTTCAAGCCCGTCACGGCCCGTCAGATTTCCGATGAGATCTGCCTTCGGGTCGCAAGGGCCTTCCACCTTCAGCCAGGACGCCTGTCAGAACAGCGCGGCGTGTTTAGTAAGTTGGGGTTCAAATGTGCGTGTGTGCGTGTGTATATATATATATATATATTATATATATTATATATATATATATATATTATTTATATATATTATTTATATATATATATATTATATATATTATATATTTATTTAATTAATTAGTTAATTAACCATATGTTATTACATGTGTATATACATACATCCTTTGGGGACCTTGGAGCTCTTCTTTTCTGTGCGCGGTGCAGCGCGCATTAAAACGATACATCGCAGCTCGACGCGCCGGTGGCAGCGGGGAAATCCCAAACCCCTTGTGGCCCAAAAGCCTTCTGCGGTTGAAGCATCTGATTCAAAGAATGATATACCGTGTATGTAAATATATAATATGTTGGTGTATGTATATATATATATATCCACATACATATACATATATATATATACATACATACATATGTATATATATATATACATATACATATACATATTATACTCATACATACATAATTCATATGATAAATTACAGCCAAGAATGAGGTTCATGATATAAACTCATATATTCATGAATAAAAGAGGATAATATATATATATATACATAATCACATATATACATAATCACATTTTTACATGATATTACATGATTACATATGTGATTGAGGCAGTTTCCCACACAACTAACATGCTTTCAACCCGCTGCCACCAGCCAAGACAAGCCAAGTGATTCCAGTCCGGATCCCAAAGGATCCCTCTTTGGTTTTTTTCTGTGAAACCAACCATAATGATCCAAGGGTCATCTTAAATCAGCATTCATTGGATGATTCCAACATATATATATATATACATATCACCATTATTTCACCACATGATGAATCACCATGTTTTCAACATAGTTCACCAGCTGGAATTACCATTTCATCCAATGATTCCAATATATTTCTGCCGGCTCTCGCTCCATGGCTGCCATGGCTCAGGATTCGATGAGGGCAGAGGCCCCGCGTTTCAAAGGGATATTCAGCTCCCGTCTCAGCGCCTGCCCGTAGCTGGAGACCATGTAGAACCTGTGACACTTCTTGACGTTGCTTGGCTGAAACGCCACAGAAACCAGATGAAAGAAACTCTACCGCATCTTGACACATAAAAGCTATCAAAAGATTCTGAAAAGGTATCAAATCACATCATATCGGATCAAGCACCAACACTGTTGTGCTTTACGCATCAACCGATGTACTGATGTCTACGTGCCGAAACTCCACCAAGCTGGCCGCCACGCCGAGCGTCGTATAACGAGAGGAAGCGTTATAAATCGTCACGAGGACCATGGAGCCAAGAAGACCAATGTGAACCCTCTTGTCCGCAAAACCTGGGGCGAAATTCCTGCCATTTTCCGCCGCCAAAAACAAAGGCCTACTTTTGTTAGTTTTAAAAAATAATGTAATACAATATAAAAAAATAAAACATAATATAATATAATGTAAATCAATATGATATAATATTATTATAGTATAATATTATATACAATATAAAATTAATATAATATAATATAACATAACATAATATAATATAATATACTATAATATAATAAAATATAAGATAATACAATATAATATAATAATATAATATAATACAATATAATAAAATAAAATATGATATAATATAACTTAATATAACATAATATAATGTAATACAATATAATATCATATAACATATTGTAATGTAATACAATATAATATAACATAACATAATATAATGTAATACAATAAAATATTATTTATATAATATAATATATTATAGCACAATATAATACAATATAATTTATTACAGCACAATATAATATAATATAATATGATATGATATGATATAATTTATTACAACGTAATGTATTAAATTAAAATTTAAGATAGTATAAGTTAATATAATACAATATATTTTAATATAATTTAATATAATCAAAAATAATATGATACAGAAAAATAATATAGCAAGATACTATTTAATATAATATAATATAGCAAATTATAGTTTAATATAATAAATATATACACATACATACATACATACATACATACATACGTACGTACCTACCTACCTACCTACCTCCATCCATCCATCCATCCAACCATGCATGCATGCATGCATGCATGCATCCATACATACATACATACATTACATTCATTACATTAAATACATACATACATACATACATTACATACATACATACATTACATTCATTACATTAAATACATACATACATACATACATTACATACATACATACATGCATACATACATACATACATACGTACCTACATACATACATTCATACATACATACATACAAAACATAACATAACATAACAAAACATAGCGTAACGTAACGTAACGTAACCTAACGTACGTACATACATACATCAATACATTGCTTGCATACATACATACATACATACATGCATACATACATACCTACCTACCTACATACATACATACAGACATACATACATACATTACCTACATAAAAACATACATACATACATACAAACATACATACATTACATACATACATACATACATACCGTGCCATACCATACCATACCATACCGTAACATACCATACCGTACCATACCATACCGTACCATACCATACCATACCATACCGTACAAACATTACATACATACATACATTACATTACATCACACCACATCACATTACATTACGTTACATTACATTACATTAAATACATACATTACATACATACATACATACCTACATACATACATACATACACACATACATACATACATACATGCATACATACACTACATTACATTACATTACATTACATATCATTACATTACATTACATTACATTACCATACATACATACATACATACATACATTAAATACATACATACATACATACATACACACATACATACATACATACATACACACATACATACATTCATTACATACATTACATTCATTACATACATTACATACATTGCATTACATTACATTACATTACGTTACGTTACGTTACGTTACATTTCATTATTTTACATGCATGCATACATACATACATACATACCATACGTTACGTTACGTTACCTTACCTTACATTACGTTACGTGACAGTACATTACATTACATTACATACATTACATTTATTACATACGTTACATACATTACATACATTACATTACATTACATTACATTACATTACATTACATACATTACATTACATTACATTACACTACACTACATTACATTACATTACATTGCATTACATTACATTACATACATTACATACATTACATACGTTACATACATTACATACATTACATACATTACATTCAGTGCATACATTACATACATCACATACATTACATACATTACATACATTACATACATTACATACATTACATTCATTCATTCATTCATTCATTCATTTCAGTCATTCATTCATTCATTCATTCATTTCATTCATTCATCCATTCATTCATTTCATTTCATTTCATTTCATTTCATTTCATTTCATTTCATTTCATTCATTCATTCATTCAATCATACATACATACTTACATACATGCATACATGCATACATGCATACATGCATCCAGACATTACATACATTACATACATACAATACATACATACATTACATACATACACTGCATACATACATACATACATACATACATACATACATGCATACATACACTACATTACATTACATACATTACATTACCTTACCTTACCTTACCTTACCTTACCTACATACATACATACATACACACATACATACATACATACATACATACATACATACATGCATGCATGCATACACACATGCATACATACATTACATTACATTACATTACACTACATTACACTACATTACATTACATTTCATTACCATACAAACATACATACATACATTACATCACATCACATCGCATCGCATTACATTACATTACATTACATTAAATAGATGCATACATACACATACATACACATACATACATACATACATACAAACATACATACATACATATATATATATATACATACATATATGTGATATTCATACATACATGTATATGTTATATATATATATAGGGTTTATTGATCTGACTGGTTTGATGAGGTTGAACGGTGATTATGAACTAATCCACTGTTTCTCCAGGAAACATGTGCCCACCAGTATTTCATGGAATGGGGTAGGGACGATTTTTCATGGCAGATTGGTGTTGCATCACGCTGGGTGCATAATACAATACATGTATGCCGTGTAAAAATCGATCCAATCCGGTGCGCCGTATGTATGCTCCACTGATGAAGACTTTGGACACACATGCGTAGAAAACCAGACTGACAAAAGTCTAAGCGTCACTCCATGATTTGACAGCTACCCTCAAGCCTCAAAGCCTTCAAAACCATGATGCTCGCCGGTTCTTTTGGATCTCGAATTCTATGGCTACCCACGAGTTGCAGGGACTATGCTGAAATCATTCGGGCGCACCTAAGGATTTGCAAATGATATGGCTGATGATCACATCCAAATTCCCACCAAGCCACATAGCAACGCCACAGGAATGGAGAAGAGCACCTTGAGTCACATAGCAACGACACAAGCACAAGCCGCAAGGTCAAAAAATACATGGAAGACATCTTCGGCTCAGGGGGTCTCATGTATTGGTTTGAAATTTTGCTGCATTTTGTTGCGAAAATCTCAGCAAATCTCAGCCAAAAGTCACACCTGGTGTTTTCTCGAAGTCCTCATGTTATGTTGTATTATAGCATATTATACTATATTACATTATATTATCTTATCTTTTCTTATGTTATATTATATCATCTTATGTTATGCGATATAATACTATATGATATTATACTATGTTATGCTATATAATACTATATGATATTATATTACTTTATGCTATATGATACTATATTGTTTTATATTAAAAAACATATTGTATTATATTATATTGTTTTATTTTATATTACTACACTAAAGAAAATATTATATTAAATCATATTATATCAGAATCATAATATACCATATATTGTAATATATTATATTATAGTAAAGTAAATTGTATTTGGTCAGATTATATCATATCATATTATTCTATATATATTATATTATATTATATTATATTATATTGTATTATATTATGTTATATTATATTATATTATATTATGTTATATTATATATTATATTATATATTATATTGTATTATATTATAATATATTATATTATATTATATTACATTATATTATGTTATATTTTAATAATATCATATTGTATCATATTATATCATATGTTATCTTCTAGTTTAGTATACGTTATTTGGTCAGATTAAATCATGTTATATTTCATTATAGCATATTTTATTTTATATCATATCATATCATGTCAAATCATATCATATTACATTTTATTATGTTACATTGTATTATTTATATATTAAATTAGATGTTATTTAATATATTGTATTACAGGAAGTTATATTTATTTGTAAACATTGAGTTAGAAGGTTTATATATATATATATATGTGTGTGTATGTATGTATATATATATATATATGTACTGCACTTCCAAGTGGGAAAATCTCCGAAATCTCCAAGCGACAGAAGCTGCATGGAGAAGCAAATACCAAATCGCATAGCCTCGAGTGAAGCTGTTCCCTCGGGCCATCTCTTTTTGCTCCTCACGGCATGGCACAGCCTGGTGGCGATGTTACCTGACCCGCAACTTTGTGTCAAACGTGGTGAAATTGATGGGAATCATCGGAATATCATAGGAAACTATGAGAAAACATGGGAACACCCATTGCACATGGAAGTTTATAGCTGTGAAAATCATCCAACTATTGCTGGGAGATTTTCCAAGCCATGTTTGATTCCCGGAGGGGAACTATGGTTAATGGTGTAATGGTGGGTTGTGGGTAAAAGATCCGATACTTTGATAGTTATATACAAAACAACAAACAGAACTGGGTCATAACTTAGACCATCAGATCATCATCACTTTTTTCGCAGACAATAGATCATTTTCACAGTGCTCTCATCTTTCGCCTCAAAGTCCCCCAACGCTTGTTCACATTAAATCATGAAATGAGAATGGGGCAAAACCTATGTATGATTTACCATATATGAATGGGGTGATGAACATCCATTTGCCATCCCAGCTATTTGGGGGTGAAAACTGTGGAACGATGGTCAAGTAAAAATCCCGACAGTTTGGTTCACTACCCATCTTTGCATTTTTTTAAATCATGAAATCCACAAGTTGTGTGGTAAAATTGCTGTGGAATTGGTTTTACAAGGCAACCGGTTGACTCGGCGCCCTTGTAAGGGTGACGAATTTGAAATTGTCATTTTTGAGGGTAAGAGAGAAAATGCTGGTATTTGCAGGAGTCGTCAAAAAATGTGTACAACATGGACATTCATTTCGATTGGCAGGCGTGTGACTCAAGGGTGAAAATTTGAATTTCGCCTGCGCAGTGACTCGATTTTTCTCTTCAAGGGTGAAAAAAAAACATTAGAATTTTATGATTTTAAGTCATCCAAATCACATCAATCAAGGCGGTATTCAATCCTCTTTTTTTCCACTGTTCGAGGTTAGCGGTGCCAGAGTGCTTGTGGCAGTGCTGATGCTACAGTCTGTAACAAGGCAGCGTTGTGACGCCAAGTCCAGCTGTAAGCATAACTGTACCGTTTTTGGTACACCTGTTGTTTCTTTTGTGGAGCATGGATTGAGGTCGCCATTTTTTTAAGTGTTTCCAAGTTCCATCAAGTTGTTTTCCAGCAATAATGGTTCTAGAGGAAATCCAACCACGACCAACATAGGTTCACGCAGGAAATCCGCAAAAAGCGCGTCAGACAATGCAAGATGTCAGCAACGACAACCTCTTCTGTAACGTAAAGGAAGTGCTCGATACGAACGTTAACATCCCCCCCCACCCCCCCTGACGATCATACGACAACAAATGCAACATGTGCCTCTTCCGTACCGTGAGGGAAGCGCTCGACACGAACGTTAACATCCCCCCCCACCCCCCCCTGACGATCATACGACAACATATGCAACCTGTGCCTCTTCCATGTGCAACACGTTAAAAAATCGAAAATTTCAAATCCTATACCCCCATTTCGGAAAACCTCATTTTTGAAATTTGCAACCCTTCCACGGGATCGTAAATGGCACATCTCAAAATCGACAACCCTTCCAAGGGCGCCGTATCAGCCGCATGCCTTTTACAACCATCAACCTCCGATTTCTTTACTATTTTCATATTTCGATGGCACCAAAAAGCGGTTTCGCCATGTTTCAACATGAAAAATCCACATCTGCTGTCCTCAGGAGAGAAGCCCAGCAGCTTGGACACCACTGCCCCACCAGCACCCCTCATGGTGTGGTGGAAGATCGTGTCCTTGCTCGAAAATCATCGCTGTGATGAAGTAGAGCTGTTGGTAAGAATTATTAAGGAATAGTCATAGTGTAGGATAGTATAGCAATTTAACAATATAGTAATATAGAAATATAGTAATGTCGTAGTATATTTCTCAAGAATATTGTTATCATGCGTTGGTATCAATGGCAATTACCAGTAGTGAATATTGAGCAGGGGTGCAAAAATCAAGGTGTTCGCAGCAAAAATGTTTGGATGTCCAATGAACAATGGACCTAATATGAATTCATGGATCAATAGACTGTTCCTTCAAATATTCGGGTTTCCTGCAAAATTCCCTTGAACCAATTCTGGAAATTTACACCCATTGTCTCCGTGTACATATCAATCATACTTGTGTGTATGTCTATGTATGTACATACATCTATGAATATGCATATGTAAGATATATGCCCCTCGCCCCCTCGATTCCTCTTTAGATCTTTCCGCATTGCACAGTGGCACTTACAAGAAGGAAGAGTTTAGTTGAATCATGTTGAAACAGCAAAAAAAAATGTAGAAAGCATGTATATGTAAATATACAGATATAGATACATGCGCGCGTCTATCAAACAATTGTATAGTTATACAACATCAATGCGCATATCAAATATGGGTGTGTGTGTGTATACATTATGTGTATGTATATATAATGTCAAACCCGGATTAGTACACCCTGGTTTATCAATCTATGGGGAAACCCCCAGATGGTGATAATCTGATACTAAAATTGACCCCAAATTAAACAGTCCAGCGGGTTAATAATCCAGCGCTGACATTTTACATATGTACAATGCGCATATGTATATACATACATAGATATATATATATATACATACATATATATATACATATACATATATATATATACATACATACATATATATATACATACATATATATATATATATTCATATACATATATATATATATACACATACATATATATATATACACATACATATATATATACACATACATATATATATATACACATCTATATATATATATATACATACTTGCCAAATACATACTGCATATGTTTGTTTATTCTGTGGCACCTCGCTAGCCTTACGGCATCACAAAGACACCACGCCAGGGCACATAGCCCCGTTTTGGTGCTGTCATCCCAATGGTCAGCAGCCATCCAGCGTAGGGCAGCCACCACGCCATATAGCTGACAGCGGCGTTGTAATAAATGTCTTCCCTGGAGATCTGGAGAGATCTGATGATGTTGGATGTGTCATGGAAATGCAATGGGATATGATCTAATGATCTAATGGATAGGGCCAACGTAGCATTTTGAAACTCAAGCGATTGCATTTTGAAACTAAACAGTTGTATTTTGCAACTGACATTTTGAAACTAAACAGTTGTATTTTGAAACGCAACAGTTGTATTTTGAAACTGAACAGTTGTATTTTGAAACTCGTATTTTGAAACTCCACGGTTGTATTTTGCAACTGACGAGTTGTATTTGGAAACTTGGGCTTTTGTCTGAAACTTGTATTTTGAAACTTTCAAAGGTCCCATTCTACTAGATCACCAGCCCAGTATGCGCGCTGAGGATTCTCTTTTTACAGAGCGCATGCAGAAGCTGAAGCAAGCCGTGCTCCTTGGCTTCCGCTCGCGTGGGCTGCACAGCATTGTGCCGTTCCTGCAAAATCAAGCGAGGATGCAAAATCAATGCGTGTAAGCCTGAATGTAACTTTTTGGACAGGAAAAATGGACAGGCAAGCAGCACTCATGTTTGGAAATAGAAGTAGACGTCTTGGTTTTGATTTTTTAAAGCTTCGCCGAATGCATCATCTTTTGCTTGCTTTTTCTTCTTCTGTCGCTGCTCCACACGGAGCACCTTAAAGTTCACTGTCTTCAACGCATTTTGCTGTGGCAGCGCTGCCAGTCTGCCAGCTCTTTTCTTTTGACGAAAGTCTTCGTCGGCAGCTTGCAAGTCCACAGCATTCTTGTGAGTCATGGAGGACAGGGGGGCCATGATGATGGCTTTGTCTCCATGGAGATACCTGGTGATGAGCTCATGGCAGCAAGTGCCAAGCTTTGTGAACGTACTGCACGTGCAAATCATCGTGCAGCCACGTTGCCTTCGAGCCAAGATGAAGACCATGCACAATGAAGTCATCAATGCTCTGAAGCCAACAAGGCTGAGTCTTCCATCCGTGAAGTGCTCATCGTCTTTCACGAGGGATGATGTGTTCAAGGCAGCCCAGGCTTCAGGCATACTGTCTGCTCGCAGGAAAGCGGCAAAGGTATCGTGCGTAGTGGTGTCGATGGGGTGCGATGGGAAGTCAACCAGCTTTGGAGTTAGAAAGGTTTGTGATGCGAAAGTTTCTTGAAATTGAAAGAACTTTGGCTTAATTTAGCTACCAACCACGTTCTGTGGCTATTTTCCACAGTTGTTACGGTCATGGAAAAATGCATCGATTGCAGTCCTGGTAATTTCAAATGATGACTTAGAAGTCAATGCACAGACCTCTGTGACATGTATAAGATTCCGCATGGAATCCTCGGAGCGTGCCAAGATGCCTTCCCAAGGGCCCAACATCGCCCATGACCCTCAAGTCGATCATCAACCATCGACCCCTGAATGAGTGGCACTCCAACAGCTAAGAAGCCGATTGAGTCAGTGACAAGGCGCTGCCTGATCCACCTTTTTCTAACCCCCACCCCACCTCAAGCGGCATCACCTAAGCGCGCACGTTGTTCGAACGCTACCACATCCCACCCCACCCAACCCCATCTCAAGCGTGGCATCACCTAAGTTCGAACGCTACCACACAGGCGTAGGAATAGTTGCGGAAAGTTAGATATGGTAGTTTCCAAATATGAGTTGCGCACGAAAAGTTGCGAAATGCGACCAAGTAGTTGCGAAATACAACCATTTAGTTCCGAAATAATAGTTGCGCAATCCTAGTTTCGCAAGAATAGTTTCGCAATACGAACGAATAGTTTCGCAATATGAGTTGCGCAATCCAAGACAGTTTCGCAATAGGACTTTATCCTTGTGGATAGTGGGATAGAATATAAAATAATATATATATATATAATACAATATAATAACTATAATAATGACAATAATAATAACGGTAATATAATGATTCAATGGTTATATTTTCCAACAATGGATATATCATGGGATATTTCATGGCAATCAAGAAACCCCTGGCTGGACATCGAATAGAATTGTATCGAATAGTCATGGAGACCACTGGATAAGAGCACTATTAGTTGCAAGCAGGCATAAAATGCAGATATTTCATGGGATATGATGGGTATCATGTTTTGGGCTTACATTTCCAACATGCCAAGCATATGAAACGGATAGATATACATATATATATATATGTCATTGTTTTTTGATGGGAATTCAAAAACCAAACATCTAAAATGGATATGGTTCACCGGATTGCGATGTGATAACATAGGATATGATGGGATATTAGTACTTCGGCTGCAATGGCATTAGTATGGTCAACAACAGGGTGATAAAGGGGTTGTCACCCCCCGCAAAGGTGGATGCCGCGGATGCCCTTGTTCAGACAAAGATGCTTGGAACAATTTAACCAATATTAGCCGTTATTAACCCTTGTTAACCATCAACCATATTTTCAACGGCAGTCAGACCTCGAACATTGAGGACAAAGAATCATCTAGTGTTGACATACAAAAAGCTGTGGTAGCCATGGCCCATTTAGTTCGATGATTTACCGAAGAATGGCAATGTTCAATATCTATGTTGAATTTCCAGAAGATACTCTGGCTTTTTCCAATCTTGGAGGGTTCCAACAGGTTGCAACACCGCGGCAGCTGTCAAGGCACCACAAGCGAATGCCATTGAAAAAGTGATACCTCAACCGATGCAACTGATCTCCACACGACAGGAGGGCATTTTTTGGGAATCCAGGAAAAAAAACATGGTTTAATGGCCATCATGGTCCTTATTATTTGATGGCCACAACTACTGGGTACACACCATTTTCAGACGCGCCCAAATAGCACATTATATAGTTGTTTATATATCCCAACATGATATGAGATGATATGATATGATATATTCTGTCATCCCTCTCTCAACGCCCTGGAGGCCCTGGCATGCCACACCCCACGCAAAAACGCCATGCTGCGTGAAGATTTTGGGAAACGCCTCGAAAACATACTCGCGGTTCCAGCCCATCTCATACATTACCAGGGATGGAAACCTGGCGAAGCTCAGCTCCCAAGATCGGTGGCTCCGATTGAGAAAATTGGGGTATGATTTCTATGATTTCACCATGAAAAATTTGGATTTTTCACATCTGTATGTTTTTGATTGTTTTAAAAGATGGCTAAACATGTGAGTTACTGTCTTTTCGTTCAGTTTCTCGGGTGTAGTTGAAGTGAACATAATACCACAAATATGCATGCTGTGTGTAGGCCATCATATCCTACTAGTATTGTTGGTATATAAGTACTAAATATATATATATCACATGTACTATAATGTGTATGTATGTATGTATGTATGTATGTATGTATGTATGTATGTATGTATGTGTATGTATGTATGTATGTGTATGTATGTATGTATGTATGTATGTATGTATGTATGTATGTATGTATGTATGTATATGTATGTATGTGTATGTATGTATGTATGTATGTATGTATGTATGTATGTATATGTATGTATGTGTATGTATGTATGTATATGTATGTATATGTATGTATGTATGTATGTATGTATGTATGTATGTATGTGTGTGTGTATGTATATGTATATGTATATGTATATGTATATGTATATGTATATATGTATATATGTATATGTATATATATATGTATATATATATATATGTATATGTATAGATATGTATATGTATACATATATATGTATAAATGTATATATATATATATGTATATGTATATATATATATGTATATATATATATACATATGTATATATATATATACATATGTATATATATATATATACACCATATAAATTACATCTATGCTCACTCCAGTCAAGTCTGGAATGGCTAGGACAAGTTACAAGTGGATCAGCACAGAGGAGGTGTTGTCAAAGTCGTGGAACAGCAGGCTGTTGCCCAAGACCGCAATGGCACAGAGCAGGGGCCCATTGCCTGCGAAAAAGGCGGACTGGATGAATGGACAAGGTGCAAACTCTGGAAACCAGGTGTTATCGGGTCTAGTATATACATATATTACTATGTATACAGTGTATATATATATGTGTTATGTTATGATTATAATTACTATATACAACATACATACATACATATATATATATAATAATAATAATATTGTATATATATAGTATATTATATTATATTATATTATATTGTATTATACTATATTATATTATTATAAAAACAGTATAGTATATTATATTTTATTATATTATATTATATTATAGTATAGTATAGTCTAGTATAGTATATTTTAGTATATTATAGTATATTATATTGTATCATATTATATTATATTACAGTATATTATACTATACTATACTATACGATATATATATATTATATTACTGGGAAAACTAACTTGGCTTCCCCTAAATTGTCACTTTCCAACTCCAAGTTCATGCCATACCTGCAGAACCCAACTCCCGGTTTTTTCAGCGGCCTAGACCCCAGGCCGCGCAGAAGGCCCACTTCTGCACGTGCAGGTCAATGTCTTTGAACAGCAGGGCCATCAACAAGATCACCTAAGGGTTCCATTAAAATAGGGCTAAAGTTACTAAATCCAGTTACTAAATGGATAAATGGATGGTTAAGCCATTTAGTAATCATAGCTGGATGGTTTCACTGGAAAGATCCTCTGGTATATGCATCCTCCCATTTTTTTTAATCATGTATATGTTCTTTTTCACCCCCAGTTATATATGGAATATCCCCTAATAGATATATATATATATATGTATATCATATATAAATGGATTATATGGGATTATAGAGATATTATATATTATATATTATATATTATATATTATATATTATATTATATATATTATATATTATAGAGATATTCCATATATCTATATGGGATTATACGAGTTAACTACGTATGATTATTGACCACTTCCTAAGTGGGATGATCCCCGTGCCTTAAAATGTGTAGCTGCTTAGTTGATATATCTTCCGTAATAGTTGATACACCCCCAGTTATAGTGTGTATATACATATTATACATATATATATAATATGTATATATATATATATGTATATATACATATCCAGGCATAGCCAAAAAAAATGTTCATACTACAACTATTCATCCAGTTGATCCAGTTACCTAGATCCCAAAGAAAATGTCCGCCAGAATCGCTGGAAAGAGACGCCCACAAAGTTGGCACACCAGCAGAAATCCAGCCAATACCTGAACCGCAGCTTGTGACCCACGGGCGGAACTAGTGATTTTCCATAGCTTCTGCCAGGTGGCAAGTGCTCCTTGGGTAAACGTTTGATCATATTGTTCCAGCGAATGGGCAGCAAGATCAAGGCCTGAAACAAGGGCTGGTTAACCAGGCACTGGTATAGATCGCCATCGAACATCGAAACATGATGCACAATATAGTGATATATGATATATATATATATTATTTATATATATATACATACATAGGAAATTTATGGAACATTGTCTTATTCAATGTTATTCATCATTAATTATACATCAAACACCTATGTATGTTTTCTGCGCGGGCAAAGACATCACGTATCTCCACGGTCCTCAGCAACCACTTGGTTTAACCCTTTGTGAATCCAATTCATCTTTAGCTGTAAAGTAATTGCCCGGTCCAAGAATTTAACACGTAAAACCCTACCCAACTCAAGTTCGTTTACGCAAATATTCCCTAAAGTTTTGGGTTTATAGCCCCTAGGTATTCCCGAGCATTTGCCTGGTTTCTCCCCCGTTTCCCAAGGGTTACCATGATTTACCTGTCATTAATATCGATATCGCCACTTGAAAGTGATATCGGTAGTTTCCCCCCACCAAGGCTGCAAATGTGTCGGCAGCCTCAACAATGTATACCTCAGTTTGGGAGCTGTCGATGTAGCCAGTTATGTTGAACTGTCGGATTCCTGCGGAGTACCCAAAAAGAAATGTCAGAAGAGCTCCATGGCTGGAAAACCAGAAATAGTGCGATGATTTCCCTTTGAAATGCTCATGTTCTTCGGGAATTTTGCCGTATTTGATGACACCGGTATAGTTTCCTCTCCCCGCATATCAACTCTTTGGGGTGATTCTTCCGATCAAGCCGGCTTTGTCATGAGAATTTAGGGGGGAAAAAACCAGTCTGAAGGTTCCCATGTTCCATCATCTTGATTGATTTTTCATGATTGTTCCTATTAAAAGCACCATGTTCTCTTGAAAAGTCAATCCCCCCACCGAGAACAGCCACGCCACAATCCAGAAATAGCCCGGTAGCGCACCAAAACTCCATGCCACGATTAAACTGGGCGCAGGGACCGCCGGAATAGCTGAGTTGGTCTAGTTCAGTAGTATCACTAGGGTTTTAGATGGCTTTATGAATGTTTATGGCATATATAATATACTGAACTAGTTGGGGTTAGAAACCAACAGAAGTGGGCGGGCCCACCTGGGCACAGTCTACGCTTTCTTAATGAGATCTTCAGCAACACACGGGAGCACGGGTGGATATCATCATCACCACCACCATCTTGCGCTCAGGGAACCCTCACCCCCATTTTTCGCTCACAAATCCTCTGTGCCAAGGGTCGAGTTTGAGACGCCAAACACGAAGTTGAACTTTGTCATGCCCTGGCGGAATTGGAGCCTGGGGGGTAACTGCACCTCTTCGTCACAACTGAACTCCAACTCAGATTCCGTTTGATGCTGAAATTCAACAGCTGTGGACAGGGCCTTGGATTGAAATTGTTTGGAACGCTCCTCGATCGCATTCAGACATTTTTGTACCTCACGACGCAGCAACTGGCGCAGTGCACATTACCACGACTTTGGCAAAGATTCTGGACGTTTCCGGAGAACTTGCCGTAATCTTTCCATCCCGAAATAGCTGAGATTTCATGAGATTTCTGGATCATCTCGCCATTCATATGGTATGAATCATAGGAAATCATAGGTAACTTGATCCATAGCCATCCCTTCCCTTGTTGCAAAGTCAAGCTACCCATTGAATTCCTTCGGGTGTGATCCGAAGTGTCTCCTCTGAGAGCAAGGACTTGTCAAGACCTGCCGATGGGGATTTTGTTTTTTCTTCTCAAAGACAAAGTAGATGGTCCAGGTTAAGTTGGTTTGTAAGTTGGTTTGTAAGTTGGTTTGTAAACCCCATGAATTCCATGGCTATATCCCTCGGACCTAGGGATTGGCTGTTCCATCTTTTGTTCCTTCCCACATAGTCTACATGGCCAAGGGGCCAGAAGAGAGTAGCTCACTCGTCATCTCGGCCGTGCAGGACGAAGCTTCTCTACGAAAGCCGTTTCGATGGATAGTTACGGGCGTTTCTTGTGCTGGGTTTTTTTGTTAAAACATGTTTTGAATGGTGACTTTGTGGTGACTTTCATGAACCTTTGGTGGTTTCACCCCATAGAAACCTTGACCCTACGATCGAAGCACTGGAGCTGCTTGAGCCAGGGCAGCTTCACATCTGCCCCTGCTGCAGATGCCAACGTTGAACAGGCATCTATATCAAGACAATCTATCCCAGATATGATAGATATTGGTGTCCAGAGTCCAGAAATCATTTGTTCTGTTGACGTTGCAAAGCCCCTGATGAAGCCAAGATTTCAATCACAGACTGACGTGACGGAGTATTTCTCTGCCAAAACACAGCGTGAGGCTGATGGAAATCTGTTCAATGAGAAAATCAATGGGAAAATCACTGGATGTTTTAATTGATAATCATCAGTGATTGATAATGATTGTTATAATCCAGTGATAATGATTGATAGTATCAATTCATTTGATGAAAATGACTCCTCTATTGATGTTTTATCAAATCACTGGACGAGGATTTTGAACGCCCTGGCTGGGCGGGCCAAGGTTCACCAGCCTGCGAAGACCAGCCACATCCCTCGGCGAGGATTTTTGCTGCAGCTAATCCCATCCCCCAATGAAAAACATCCCCCAAATGTTCCAAATATGTGTTATTATGTGTTTTTATCCACTAAACCATGGTTTCTGGGGGGTGTTTAATAATGTTTAATATGAATGGGGGATGTCATTCTTCATGGGCGTTGACCCTTGATGGTAAGAGGCTCATGTGAGCAAAGATACATCGAATCCGCGTCCAAAGAATGTGCAGACGGGCCAGCGGAAAGGTCCGCCACTCTTGGTGCCCCCCACTCCATATCCGCAGCTCTACTTTTGGTCGGGGCGGCCATGTATAGCTCCCACATCTATGACTAGCGCAATATCTAAGCGCCTATTGCCTAGTGCATTGATCTGCAGTGGTTCCATGGGATTTTGTGATGGGATGTTCATGGGATTCTATTGGATCTCATGGGATTTTCGATGGAATTTACGTGATTTTATGGGATGTCGTTTATGGATTTCATGGCATTTCATGGGATTTTCATGGATTTTACACTCATCTTTACGAAAAAAAAACATGTTGTTGTCTCCTGTCATGCTGAAACGCTTGGACCAAAGTCAAAGAAAGAAACTCTCAGGATCTCCGGGTGTCAAGCTGCCTGGAGTCCCTCCATGGCAGCCGGTGGATCGATTTTCCTCATCGCTCGACCACCAGCATTTCAGGTGGTGTTGCGACATGGCTCGACATGGCTCGACATGGCGCCGAGCCGGGTTGAGCCTTGTGGTGTCTTCCTCAGCTTATCAAGTCCATTAAATCTCCACGAGTCTCCATCTCCAGTCAGAATCGCAAACCTACGACGATGATCGAAGCTTCCAGGTGGTGATGGAAATCCTACCGTCCCCTGGTGTTCAATACCTCACACGCCCGGTTTCCATCACAGTTTGATGGGGATTTTATGAGAATGTCATGGGAATATAGTGGGAAACTCTATGTTTAAAAAATATATATCTCCAAAAAAAACAGGGTGGAATGTATATGAGATCTATTCATGACTTCGGGGTCCATGCAGGGATATTTCAGGTGCAGTTCATGTTGGTTCATCCAATGCGTTTGGGGTTGGTACCCCAAATGTTGAGGGGAACAACAGATTTCATGGTTTAAAAACCTAATGCTCTCCTTCAAAAATATTGCCTTGTGATGCCTTGGGTTTAGGGGTTAGAACCAAAAAAAGCATGTGATTGACTCCAACAAGCAAGGCTGATGGAAGAAAAGGTGCCTTTTGAGAGGTTTTCCAGATGGACCATGATGGACTGTTATCTACATCATGGAAGTGAGAACGTGAGCTGAGAAAGTATCATAGAGTATCATAAAGTATTGATTATTCACACACATGCGTCAGTACACAGAGATCGAGAAACGTGGACAGAATATGGTAGAATGTTTGGTGCGTGTCTGTGAGTGGGAGGGTGTGAGGGTGTCCTTCCACAAGCAAGACCCTATGTTGACAAGGCTGTCATGCTCAGTGTCAAGATCAAGGTTTGGCCAGACTACCCATGCTCCATCCGCTCTATTCAAGCGTACCCAAACTAGGAGTGTCTCCTTGCGCCGGAAGCACATGCACATCACCAACTACCACCTGTGTATTCCATCATCGAATGATCCCTTGAAAGGGGCATTGGCACGAATTCGAAGCACGCCATTGAGCGTGCTGCGTACAGGGCGAGAAGTTGTCAGAGAAGGCTCGCTGGAATCTTTTGTGGTCCACACGGTCCACACCACCGTATCATATTGTTTCACAATATCAGAGAAGCCTGATAGACCTTTGATGTTTGGAAGAGCCTCAAAAAGTGGGCTATCACTGACAACTACTTGCCGAAAGCAATGAACAGCCCTTGTCACTGAAGTCAACTCAGATCCATCAGACTGTCACCCAAGACTATCTTTTTAAAGCTAGCTTTTAAAGCATCGCATATCTTCAGTGACCCTCACAAGTGTCATACAGAGCTCAGCTGCTACGCTGCAGATTCCTCCATTTACGTCAGGTACCTGCCATGTTTTCCGCAGAACACTCCAGGAGACCGCGCTCTGCGCGCATCACGGCAGCGGCGGCAGCCCGGCTTTTTGGCACCAGCAGCGACATCCCAAATCAGGGGTCTAAGGGAATGACATATTAATATGTATAGAATTATATAAGTATTACATGATATGTGTATATGTCTATGAAATATGATGAAATATTAAATAATCAATAATTATATTATATTATATGATATTATATGATATGCTATGTACCAGCATGTACATATTCAAGTGAGTTGTATCCATGAACTATGAACAGTATCCACCATGACCAAAACAGGTCTCACTTTCTCACAGTCAAACCTTCGGCTCAGTATCGCCGTCCCCGCTCTGGAGTTTTCCACCTCGGATCTAGTGAAGTGAATCCGGAATCGTGAGAAATCTCGGCAATTTTGTGAAAATTTGACGAATTTCAAGACATCAACCATGGAAAAAAGGGCCACCAACACACCAAATGGGTTTGTCATGTTTGTCTGAAAATGGGCTACCATAGACTACCCCATTCCATCCACTGTTTCATCATCATTTTCCCATATTTTCCCCATTTTGACTCTGAAACTTCGGGAATTCTTGGTGCCAGACACGCAAAGTCTCCTCCGAAACGTGACGACCTGGAGCCGATTTGTCCCAGTCCAAATCTCCAGTGAGACGAAAGTCTTAACCCTCAGAATGAATCCTGGGATATCATGGGGTGCTGGAATTTCACCACCCCACCGTTCAGACAGGATAATTATGTGATAAGTTTTATGATATTAATTGACTTTCTGGAGTTAATTTATGCCAAAATGTATTGGACAACATCGAACCATCAAAATTGGGGCCTCCTATTGACCCATTTCTGCCATCTGCAGATCAAGTTCAATGAAGTTCTGTGACTTTCTCAGGATTTGCTTCATTTGGTTCCTCCTCATAGGAAATGAGTGTTTTTGAGTGTTTTTGTTGTATCTGTTTCAACAGGTTCATGAAGTTGCTGAAAAAAACATCACTCATAACTCATCACCTTTCTGGCAGGGCTCACCATTCAGGCAAGAAAATTCAAAAAAAATAGAAATGTCCTGAAATATCCAGGGAATCCGCATCGTTTTCTTCAAAAGACTTCGATTCGCAGCGTTTATCGGGGTGCTGGTGAGCCCATCTGTGCCCAGTCTCAGACTGCCACAGGGGGCGCCCGGAACTTCAGTACGAGCTGCTGGGGAAGCCCATCCAATGTTCGATTTGTTGGGAAAAATATGAAAGTCAACAAGTAGGCAAAGCAAAACATAGCAAAACGCTAGCGTTGAACTTGCTTTGTTGATCTTTTGCTAAGCATTCTGCAATTATCTGTGCTAAGCATTGCTGGATCGTAGCTCTGCTGAAGGTCCATCCCACAGGACATGTTTTTAATGGGACCAGAGAACCTTTCGAAGGCAGATTCCAAGTTGTGAACCACATGCTTTCCGCATTGTTGTTGTGTAAATCACGGGCTCTTTTCAATTCTGGAAACTTATAAATTCTTCCAAACACCTTGAAATAGGTGTCGGCATCAGCATCTGCTTCGAAAAGGTCTCGGCAATGTCGTGCAGACGCCGACTCGGTCGCCCCATTCGAGGCTGAAAATCTCGGGCCCCATCAACTCTGCCAAAACGTTGTTATCCAAAATGGGGTGGTAACATGTGGTAACTATGCAGTAACTACAGAGCACTGGGTTGCTGGGATGGCGTCCTCATTGTGGTCATGGCAGGGTCAGTGTCATGGGACGTTCATCAAGCGTGTTGAAGAGTTGCGCGAGACGGACGGCTTTGGAGACCAATTGAAATTATGAATTAATTGAAATTATGAGAGATTCAGGCGCTGCCGAAATTTCTGATCCAGGGCTCATGTTTCTCAACATGCAGGATGTAAACCCTAAGTGGGTTATATCCTTGTGATATCCACCGTTTTTTTCCAAATTGTGAAAGTTGCGGTTTATCGGTATACCATGGAAAAAAAGGTATACCCTAAAATATCCCAGCCTTTGTGGCACTTTTGGATCATTTTGGATCACAAATGCAGGCATGCCAAGGTCTGTGCCATGGGTCTCAACATGAGCACAGGAACTCGATTAAAAAATGACGCAGCAGTGGAATGCACCTGGCCACTTAGGGCACACTAGGGTGCCGAAACACACCGCGAAAATCCTGTGGCAACACTTCTCGGGTTCAGAAGGAGCTCCTCTGCTGCTGTGTTGATATTGCACCAATTGCCTCAAGGTCTAGTTTTCAGATGCGCTGCTTGTCATCTAGCTGGTTAGATCCCCATCAGACTCAACTGCCGTTCACTTTATCTGGAAAGTCCTCCAAGAACGCGGCGACTCTGCCGTTCCATTGTCTAGTCCATGTTGAACAAAAATATGGCGTTTCGCAAAAAAAATCCACATCACATGTTCAGAAAATGCTTCCTTGGGAAATGCTGAGAAAAAGGATGCCAAAGGTGGTGGTTTTGCCTCAGCATCTGCAGATCCGCCCAGCTGCAATCTGACATCCACTGCATAACCTGCAGGAAGCCTGCAAAATCCACACCATCCTCCAGCGCAAACTCATCATCCGGAGGCTCTTCATCCTGTGATATTGAGCCGGGTTGACAGGCTGAAAAAACATGTGTCTTGAAAGTGTGAGGTGTGTTTTTTTTGGATCAACAAAGATGATAAGTGTGTATATATATATATTGAAATGGTGAGCTCCAAATATTCATGGAACATCAAGGGGAGGCTCCACTGATTCAACGATCCTGCCTCTACATCGATCAGGGTCTTTTCATCGGAGAATTCACGGATCTTTTTGCGAAGCCTCAGGTTTGCCATTTCTGTTGAGCCATGGTTTCTCCATTTTTCAACCTTTTGGGTGATGCCAAAAAAATGGTGTTGAATTGCCTAGAAAAACAGAAGGACCACGCTGAAAAAACGACACTCACCATGTCTGATTCCTGATTCACAATTGTTCTATACCCATTAGTTTCCCTATTGAAAATACCCGATCATTGGACGATTTGGATGCTATATCCGACTATATCCGATCTTCCATGTTTGAAGAACCCCCGAAATCTGCAAGATTCTCTGCCCAAAGATCCTCAGTTTTGATGGCGTTTTCATGCGGATTTCCCCACCATTTCCTCACCATTTCCTCACCATTTCCACCGTCGTGGTACATACTCCGATGCGACATCTTGATGCGAGCTCCAATGCTGGCAGCCATGCGGATCACCTGGGAGCTCCAGTGATTCTGTGTGTAGAAATGCTTTTATTTTATGCAATATCATATCTATCTATGTATGTCTGTCTGTCTGCCTGTCTGTCTGTCTGTCTGCCTGTCTGTCTGTCTGGCTGTCTGTCTGTCTGTCCGTCCGTCCGTCCGTCTGTCTGTATGTATGTATGCATATATATATATATATGTATATGTATATATATATATATATGGAGTTATTTATTTGCTAATTAATCTATAATAATAATAATATATATATACACACACACGTATAACTGTGATAAATATAAATCTAATTAAATCATATTAAATCTATACATCCATCTATATGTCATACCCGTGTCAAAGCCCCCGGACCTCGGAGCAGGAGACCCGTGGCCGCGTGGCCAAACAGCGCACCACGAAACTCAGGGGGTGGCAGGGCTCCTGCGCGGGTGAGATATAAGATGTAACATTTGTTTGTAACATGTGGTTGTAGTATATTGTTGTGATACTAGATGTATACAATGTATATGTAACATTATATGATATACAAGTATGTGACATATTGATACATATTGTAGCATTAAAAAATAAAAATGTTACGTTTAAAAAAAAATAAGCCCAAAGAGTATCCCCAACAGCGAGAAACAAAAACAGTTGCCAAACACGCAATGAATGAAGTATGTTTATTGCCCCGCCCTTTTTACTCTAGAGGTCGGGCGTGCAAGCTGCAATCACGGCACAAACACTGTATGAAAAAAACGTTTTTCCAAAAGCGTTTGCGATACTGTGGCCAACATGCCCGAAGCTCGTGCAAAGGGCTCTCTTCCCAAAGAACTGCTGTCCGCCTCACTCTTCACTTCATCTACCTAACATACATCATCCACATCTTTTTTGTCCTTTATATCACCTACATCTTCTATACCATCTTCTAGACCATCTTCCCTATATTTACATCTACATCTACACCATCAGCACCATCATCATCATCATTGTTAAGAATACACCTGCACATGTACATGAGCTATACAGTTGCTGATCCAACATGTTAGTCTACTTTGAGTACATGTCATGGTACGATACATTTGGGCTCCATACAGGGCCCTTGAGCGTCACCTTGAGCTAGCGTTACTCGAGCGCTACAGTGAAAAGTATAGCGCGTGGGCTACAGCTGCTGAGAGTACAGACAGGAAAGTTGTACACTTGATTTCAACATGGTAGCGGAGCAGTGATCCCTGGACGATACAGGACAGGGTGAGCTCCAATACACATCGGCAACAAAGCTACAGCATCAAGGTGAGAACATACAATAACAAACATGGCAGCAGCTACAACTGGAGGAGACCTCAATGCGATGCACAGATACAAACTACCACCACCACACTTTACAGGAGAGTACGCAACATTCGAAGAATGGAAACACAAGTTTGTGGCCTACTTGGGGCTACAGAATTCACAATTCCCCAGGCTCCTACAAATAGCAGAAACATTTGATCAACCAGTTACAGATGAGCTTCTAGCAGATGGTGCAAGAAACAGAGAAGAAGCAGACCTTTGGATACAACTCAGCAAAGACCTACACTACCTACTCATCAACGTTTGTCAAGGACAAGCAGCTGTCCTTTGCAGACAACATACACTACAAGCAGTTGGTCTCGAGACATGGAGACAACTACACAGACGCTTTTCAATTCCACTTGGTACACGCAGTGTCGGGTACCTTACAAAGCTTTTGAAACCACAGTTCAACGAAAACAAATTTGAGGAGTCTTTTACAACATGGGAATTTGAAATAGCAAGATACGAAAGAGACAACCAAGCACCAATACCTGACAACATCAAAATTGCAATACTACTCAATGAGACCAAAGGACCACTACAGCAATACCTACAACTACGAGCAGGAGCCATACAACGATATGCAGACATTCGAGAACTCATTCTCGAATACCACAGAGCATCAACAGCGTTCTCCAAGATGCAAGCACAACAACAGGCAATGAACAGCAGCACAAATGATGCACAGCCCATGGACATTGGAGCTACGTACAAAGGAAAAGGAAAGTACAACAACAAGGGTAAAGGAAAGTACAACAAAGGAAAAGGAAAGACACAATGGCACAACAAAGGAAAAGGATACACAGGATACAGCCAACAAGGATACAAAGGCAAAGGTCCAACACCGATTGGACATGGCAATCCCTTCAAGGGAGCAATGCAGTACAAAGGAAAGAGCAAAGGAAAAGGACCACCACAATGGCAAAGTACAACAATGAACAAAGGCAAAGGAAAAGGAACATGTTACAAATGTGGTCAACAGGGCCACTATGCAAGGGACTGCAGAGTGGCAGTCTACAACGTCACAGACATGGATGAAGGCACAGACCAGTACAACCAACAACAGTCATACTACCAACAACCATGGACAGAACAAGAACAGTGGCACTACGAGGAACAATGGTTCCCAGATCACCAACAGTGGCAATATGACCAGCAACAGCAAGCGGCATACAACCAGGAACAACAGCCACCACAGATGCCTACAGCACCAGCGCAGGTAGTTTCCACAGTAGAGTTTGGAACAACTACAATTGCCTCAGTCACAACCACAGGCCTCAACACCTACAAGACTGTCGAGCTCATGATCGACAGTGGCGCAGCAGTACATGTCTGTCCACCAACCTTTGGTACAGACTTTCCACTGATGCCTCTTACAGAGGAACAAACACCACCACTTCTCTCAGTTACAGATGAGCCCCTTTGGGTTCTTGGCTACAGATGGGTGCGCTTCAAGAACATACAAGGACAACACTTGGTGATGCCATTCTACGTCATAGATGGCATACGACACCCCATCGTCAGTGTTACAAGACTCCTGGAACAAGGTTTCGAACTCAACCTCAGAGGTACAGAGTCTACACTACAGAAAGGAGGTGTGTTTCAGGCACCACTTACAACTAAAGACAGACTACTCTACGTCCACCTGGAAACAGCACCACTGGAAGAAGGAACAAAACTGGTGATACAAAACACTCCACAAGGACAAGTGGCAATGATTGCCCCAACACACACACTTACAGCAACAGGACCACGACCTCAGCAAGGAGGCAACAACGACTTCTGGAAGTACAACGAACAAGGATACCTGGTCAGGGTACACAAGAGAGGAAGAAAGGCATTGTTCACACCAGGATACGGCAACCAGTCAGCATGTCCAGTACAATTTGACAGACTGGACGACTACAGGAAAACAATTGTCTACAAGGAAAACGGTACGCAGACAGTGCTTGAAGACAAGTTCAAGTCACTCACTAAACAGGAAGCAAACAGAGAGGTTACAGGTACACAATGGCAAGGAGAAACATGGTTCAGGATTCTTCCTGACAAGACAACAACAGGCCAACAGAAACAGGATACAAACAAAGAACAACAAGTTCAGAAACGAATGAATGAAGGAAAGGAAGTGAAGTACAGACACACGTACAAGCAGCAAGAGAAAGAAGACACACTACCAACACCAATGCAGATGGATGGCACAACAGACTACTGGATCAAAGAAGGAAGGTTTTGGAAGAGAGTACATGTAAGACCAAGGACAGAGTTCTACACACCGACACCTGAAGACAATGGACCAGATGTCTACAAACTGCTCCCATACAGAGCAACACACATACGAGAGGAGCACAACATGAGAAGAATCGAAGACGATTGGACTACAGAACCACAACCAACAAGACAACAAGAATGGACAGGATCTACAACCTTTGAAGAAAGAAGAGAATACAGAGAAGAAATGCCAACAGAAGAAGAAGATGAACAACAGAGCGCAAACAAAGCGAAAGCAATGATGCAACCGGTACAACCTACACCGCAGGAGATACAACAGCACAACCTTACACACATGCCATACAGGAGTTGGTGTCCTGTGTGCATACAATCTCGCGGCAGACAGACAAGCCACCAACAGCAAACATCGAAACAGCCAGTCATACAAGTTGATTTCACCTACATCAAGACCTATGAAGACAAATGGCCGGTACCAATCCTGACAGCCATAGACATACAGACCGGCATGGCAATGGCAACAATGCTTACGGACAAGAAAGGACAGTTTGCCTATGCACAGGCATGCCTACAAGCATTCATTCTTGAATGTGGAAGAGCAGAAGGCATACTACAAAGTGACCAAGAAGAATACCTGATGGCGCTCCTTAGAGCTACAGCTAAAGCAACAGGCAACATGACAGTGCGTTTTGCACCAGCATACAGCTCACAAAGCAGTGGCAGCATCGAAAGATTCCACCGTACACTTGCTGGCCACATCAGGACACTCAGGACACAGGTACAGCAGAACTACAACACAAGACTGCCGACAACACACCCAATCATGGCTTGGGCAGTACGACACTCAGCATACCTGATCAACAGATTCCTCATCAGAGCAGATGGCTACACCAGCTACCACAAAAGATGGGGACGAACACACAATGCAGCTCTCTGTGAATTTGGAGAGACTGTGATGTACATGGTACAGTCGATCAAACAACGACCAAAACTTGAACCCAGGTTCTACAAAGGCATTTGGCTCGGCAAATGTACATCCACTGGAGAGTCCTTCATTGGCATTGCAGGCAGAATTGTACGCTCACGTACAATCAGACGACTAGCAGGTACAAACAGGTACGATGCTCAATTGATGGACACAATCACTGGCACACCATGGAATCCTACACCACCAATTGGATTCCAGCCAGCTTTCATACTACCACCAACACCAGCATCAACAGAGCAACAAGTCCAGGCAGGGCAAACATCACACGAAGAAACGAATACAGGCAATCAACCAACAACAGCAGCAAAGCATGCTACCGACACAAAGGAAGCAGACACAGAAGCAAAGAAAGCAAGAACAGAGACAACAAAGAAACAAAGAGTCGAAGAACAACAGCAAAGCACAGCTTCAGCATCAACGTCAACACAATCTACAGCAATGAGGTTGGGAACATCACCAATGCCAACAGGTTCACCAACCAGATCAGTGGACGACCAAGTACATGAAGGAAGTGCAAGCAAGAGCAGAAAGCAAAGTACAACACAGCAAGCACCAGCGAGACCAGAAGAGACGAAGGAGAGAGACAGTACAAGACCAAGATTGAGAATCAATGCAGTCACAGTTGCATTGAAGAGCGGCAAGAAGATTACAACAGCAACAAGCGAAGACCCACAGGAGGTACGAGCAGAACAGAGGCTACTCGAGCCTCACATCTACAACAACGAAGGATTCGATACAGAGAAGTTGAAGCAAGGAATGCAAAAGGAGATGGAATCCATGAGAACACAAGGAGTGTATGAGGAGGTAGATGTTACAAAGCTTACACCTCAACAAAGACAAGAACTTGATCTCGACAACATCATCGAGTCAAGATGGGTCTACAGATCCAAAG